AAAACAAAGCTAAGCATCAAAATTATTGATGTCATAAAACCTAGCTCGTGTTCTGTAGGAAAAATGTGGCATGACCCTAAGCTCGAAACATTCATCATAATGTATTAATAAGCAACATATATCAACATTAGTAATGTATTGTTTTGTTTTTCACGTATATAAAAACGTAAACTAGATTCCAAATAGTTTGTCTTTAACAACTTACACTTTTTGACCGTCAACAAGCAAAGGGTCTAGTATATAAGTTTTATCTTCAATCTTGTATTTTTGAATATTTAACAATAGAATACAATACTGTAACAGTAAAATAGAATACAAAACAATGCAATATTGGATTCAAGATTTTAATCACTCAATACACAATGCATGTAAATATTACGTAACAACATATTTTACAAAAAAACGAGATATGTAACATAAAATACTCATGTCATATTACGATTTCCTTTCTGCATACTTGAGAAAGTATAACATTTACCAAAAACGAAACACATTATTTTATGATATTAATCAAATATCTTATAGGAAAAAAACAGCCAAAGTTTTTTATATACCACAAATAAGAACGTCATTGTTCATTTATTTCCCTCAAAATTTATTATATTGGGAGATCTTTAATAGAATTCAAAGATATATATTTTTATTCATAATCAGATTTTTGGCATTTTAACACACCGTGAATATCCAGTAATGCTGGAATGTGAAAATAATGCATGATTCGTGAAAAAGGTAACGCAGAATTGTGCAATAAATTGCGGATATCTGACAGGATTTCCAACGCGGAAAGTTAATTTGCCAATATATATTTTAGCTTACCAAACTGAAAAAAAGAGTAGCCGCATACGGCTGCGAAGACATTTTCTTTTATAAATTATCCCTCATCAAGATTATTTCTGAAAAATTCTGCTTACTTTTCAAGATCATTCGTGAAAATGATGGCTTAGCCACCGTATTGAGCTAGATTTTGGCATTTGTAGACATTTATAAGTACAACAGTGTATTATATACCGTATACTTTTGATTTTCGGTAGGCAAGTGACATTAACTAAACTTCTGGTAACATAGAAAATTGAAAATAAGCTGATAAAATGTAATTCAAGCCGATTTTATGAGGTAACGCAGATGTACGTGAATAGCGCTTCGCGGTTACGCTGGACAATGTAATTTTTTCATATATTGTACTGAATTGTTACACAGGTTTAACGCCATTAATCGGCGAGGATAAGCACTTTTCAAATATATTTGTTTTGGGGGAAACTTTAAGTTATTTTATACAGAATCTATTTTAAGATAAGGTAAGTAGAAAGAAATTAACGCGTCAACACCAGGGGTGTTTATTTTATTTTATTATCTACCTGTTTCGACCTACCGTGAGGTCATCATCAGGATAAAATTAAACAGAAATTTGTTCTTAAGTATTAAAAATGTTTAGGATGGTAATAATCAATTTAAGTGTAATAGCGTAGAAAAAATAAACATAGTCTCGTATTCGTCCTTGTTATCTAAACCTATAAGCTTCAAAATATAAGTCTTTGTTGAAGCAATGCGTGAAAATTTCTAACTCAACGGAAAATGGGATTTGAGCCATTTATCACAATAGGCAATTTCGCAGATGGCAGTTATGAAAACAATGCTTTGTTAGATTATAGAAATTTTCATTGTTCTCACTCTTTATTAATATCAATTATCTAACATAATAATCACCCTTTATCTGCTAAATTCATGAAATGATTTTGCTCAGGTGTGAATTTGGAACAGTTTATTCCAAGTCTGAGGTATTGCTATTAGATCTTTAATGTATTTGTACAAATGAGCTATCAGTGAGCAAATGGTCAGTCTGTATGAATGTGACCTCGTTCTGTACTGGTGGCCTCTTTTAGGGTCATTCGTCCTGGTAGTTTTGTAAACGTCTATAGAAATGCCAATCATAACATTTTTTGTTAAATAAACTCTTAGATTCATATGTGTTTTGCCATAGAAGTTTACATATAATAAGAAACCCACAGAGTAGAGTAAATATTTGCCCCAAGGATTATAATTTATTTAACTTTTGCAAAGAACAATAAGGTTATGCTACATTTAAAAAACAAGTTTGGGGCATTATAGCTTCTAAGTAAAATATTTTTTGTAAATAAAAGTTACTTTCTTATATAAGAGTAATAAATAGATTAAATAAATAATCCATCACTAGGTAAATTGTTACATCCAAATATTTATTTGGTTGGGTTGAATGTATAAATAATATGAAAACAATAACATTTTCCGGCGTTACGTTGAATCACTATTCACGTTCATCGGCGTTACTTCATAAAACGGCTTAAATCACATTTTAACAGCTAACTGTTACCAGAAGTCAAGTTAATGTCACTTGCCTATCAAATATCGAAATTAAACGTAATAATATGCATTGCTGTACTTATAAGGGTCTACAAAAAGTAAACTTCACTCTCAAAACGTTGCCCAAGCCATCATTTTCACGAATGATCTTGAAAAGTAAACATTTAATGGGAAATTATCTTGATGAGGGATAAAGAATAATGTCTCCAAAGTGGTATGCGGCTGTCTTTTTTACAGTTTGGTTAAATATAACATATTTTGGCCAGTTTACTTACCGCGTTGGAAATCGTGTCAGATATCCGCCATTTATTGCACAATTCTGCGTTACTTGTTGCACGAATTGTGCGTTATTTTCACAGATATACACTATGTAATAGGAAATGAATTTTGTATGTGTTGATTGCCCAGATAGTATTTTCTCTGTTCTAAAGTTACCCTATGTCAATTTTCAGTTTCAACCGACAATTAAGGAGCTTTATTTAAGATACTTGTGTGGTGAATCACTAAGATATTTCCCAATATCAAATTGCTTTTTAAAAATCGATAATGCCTACATTTAGATTTTTTTAAGTCTAAGTACCACTCATCTCTAAATATATCTGATAATTTTGGTTTAACTTAATTAACCAGCCAATTTACGTTAGGAACGTCATGACTCATTTAAATATTAGTAATTCTCTATTCTATGAAAATATCTGTTATGCAAGTTATCCTTTCGAAACTAAAATTTGAATTACTTTATTTTTAAAATATCTTTAGGAAACCACATAGATATCATTTGTAAACTGTTTGTAATTTGATACTTTGTCCGAAATGAAATCATCCTCACTTTATTTAATTTCAATGCATAACGGTGTGGTATTATTAAGTCGAAAACGAATATGTATTGCCATATCCTACATTATTTAGTCAAACCGCTAGATTCTAGTTAAATAATATCTGCCAGAAATAACCTAAGTTAAGTGATCAAATAACTCAAGATGAGTCAAGTCATTTTCAAATGCATACGAACTTTACTAATATTAAACTGTTTGAAATGAGATCGTACTATCTATTAATTTCTATTATTTAAAAATCAAGAATTGTAATAGACGCATACCCATTTCAAATTCTTTTCTCTACGGCAATTGTTGCTATACTCGTATACCGATTGGAAAGCGGGTGTTTAATGAAGATATTTACAAGAAAGTCTGTATTACCTTTTTTTCTTCTGCATCCTATTTCACACCATTAGTTTAAAATTCCGGGAAATATGTTACTGAATCATATGTTCAATTATAAAAATCAAGTTACTTGTTATAATAAGTGTCAAAATTTAAGTTTAAATGGCTTGATAGGCTTTCAGACATTTCGTTTTAAGATAACATAAATGTTGTTGTTTGACTATTTTCAAGCCTCAAAAATAAGAAATTATTTTGAAACATGTTCCTTCTTAACATATATAAGTGAAAATGTTTTAAACATTTTAAATATTTTATGTCCACGATCACGTCAGTGGTCCGACAAAAAGTTTTGTGACCGCCTGAATGCACTTTTATTTATTGTGGGACCGCTAAAATTAAGCGGCATGTAACCGCGTGGACTATTATACACAAATGCGCATACTATTAGCAGAATGACAACAATATTTTGTTTATTTTAAAAGAACTTTTGTGAGTTAACAATATGATTTACAACTTTTACTATTATGTTTATGAACATCGTGGTTTAATATAAGAAGAAAAAAACAGTACTTCGGACCTCGGACCTCATAGCATTATACTGACCCCCGTCAGGCACAAATATTGAACGGACCACAGTTTTTGGCTTCGGTCCGTTAGAATTTTTGCAGGCTGACTGATTGCTAGCTAAAATGCTATAAAGACCCTTAGTGTTAGGTACTATCTTTTAAATAATTCATGACTACAGCAGTGCATAAGAAATGTAACCGTCCATTTCTCGACTTCACTGATATGTTCATATGCTGATTTATCATATTACGATATATATTTTTTTAACAATTCCAAAGAAATTTAAAACGTATTTGGTTGACAAAATGTCCGAGAAATTAATATTTATTATTCATATTTAGACTGTGGTGACGTTCACAATGTCAGTATAGACCATTCCGCCAAAAGACACCAGATTAATGGTACCACATACAAATCAACTGCTACCGTAGATTGTGATGAAGGCTATTACATCAAAAATGAAACACCAATACTTGGAATATCAACAAGAACACTGACATGTGCTGAAACTGGGAGTTGGATAAATATGCCTACTTGCATTCCGAAAGGTAAAGTACGGAAATGGACATTTTGATTATTTTTCAAACTAATATCATACATGCTATTTCTCCTTTAATGATTACTGAGGAATACAGATACGCTTGATACATGTTTTAATGATGTATTTCCTTATTCATTAAATTTCTTGTGTTTTTTACAGACTGTGGTACGTTAGAAAACATTACTATACCTAACGCAGTTAAACGATTAGATATAAATGGCACTACATTTACATCAATCGCCAATGTTAGCTGTGATGCAGGCTTTAAGGATGAAAACAAAAAAAGTCAGACATCGGGAATTACAAGTACGTTTATCAGATGTAGTGAAAATGGAACATGGTCCAAGTTACCAAATTGTGTTAGAAAAGGTAAATATATGAGACCATAAATCGTCGTACTTTGTGTTTTACTATGATACTTTTAATAAAACAAAAATATGCATAAAACTTTCAAAACATGGGCCATAAGGCCTAGACGTCTGTGGGGAAAATATTGGACGGCCATAGACTTGAAACATTCACCGTGTTTAGCATTATAGAAACATAGATTAATGTTCGATATTCACATATTCTAAAAGGTGAAGTAATTCGAGTGTTTCATTTATAACTACTAACACTTTTGACAATTAACAACCAGTGAGAATATAATTGTCATCTTCCATTTTGTATTCTGGATATAATAACATGCAGCACACTACAAAGGAATACGAAATTAATAGTGTTATACAATACAATGTAATACGATACAAATAAGAACAGTATAATTCGATAAAGTAAGTTGCAATTAAAGTGCAGTGCAATACAAATGTTCAATGTACTACAATGCAATACACAATTCAGTACAATACAAAACACTGGAAGGCAATGCCATTAAATAATACACAGTCCGCAATTAAATACAATACACAATAATATGATACGATAATTATGGTATGTATAGTATATATGTATAGTATATAGAAGCGAATTAACATTCTTTTATCTGAATAAGTTTAATTTTATATACAGATTGCGGAAATATATCTAACCTTAATGTGAGTCATGCCCAGTTACTACACCAGAACAATGGTACAAAGTATGAGTCAACGGGCGAGATAGTGTGTGATGAAGGATACTACAACCAGGAAGTCGGTCAAACGACTGGAACCTCAACAACAAACATTACATGTACTCATACAGGGAAATGGCAGAATGTGTCCGAATGTATACCAAAAGGTGAAATTATTAGATGATAAATTTTATTTTTTTGTAAAAGTAAATGACATTTTATAGAGCAAAGTCATGAAATATTGAATGGGTTCTGTTCAGAAGCAAAGTTTTATAATAACAAAGGCCATATGCTAGACCTTAAAAAATAAATATTATAGGTTAAGGTTATTTTGAATCAAGAATTAATATCATTCACTTTCAAAAATAAATTGAATATGTAGTTTTTTATTTCTATTCATAACGTTACGTTTGTGTTTCACATGCATAAATTTGATCATGTTCTAATTAATCTCTAATCGATCTACAAAAAAACAACAGAATGCAATTAAATAATGTTTATATGCACGTACTTAAATACATGTACTGTTTTATTATGTAAAATCTATGTATTGTTTGTTTTTAACAATATTAAGCTACGGTTGAAACGGTTGGAAAAAAAAGAGCTAGATGTGTTTAATGAATTCGAAGAAAAACAAATCTGCAAAGGAAATGTTATGAACCCACCATTTAAGCATCATATCATATTTTGAAGTAAACTGTTTTGAATTCGTAACATCTTTGATTGTACCTGACACTTTATGAATGATATTGTGTTAAAGTTTAGCACATTGTGTTGATGTACTGATTTTTGTTTCCGGTCAACACTTCTGTCTTTCCTGATGTATTAGAAATATTATGCATAGATGTGTTGAGCATTATGACAACGAGTCCGGCGCAAAAATCTGGTCCCAGCTCAAAGGTCAAGGTCACATTTAATTTAAAAAATTATGATATTACTGTTTTAATAAAAGGGCACTTATGGTCATCATTTAACGATGGCTTTAAAAATAACTTGGCATATATATGTTGTACATTATGACTACATGTCGCATGCAAGAAAAAGGATTGCCAGCTCAAATGTCAAGGTCAATTTTTTATTTACAAATCATGATATAATATTCATAGTGCACTGATGTTTGTGTCCGGTCAACAATTATGTCAGTTTTGATGGATTTTAAAATGACTTGCCTAAATGTGTAAGACGTGATGAATACTGATGATGACTTGTGTTGCGCTTAGGATCCACGTCTCCAGTTAAAAGGTCAAGGTTACACCTTGTTAGTCAAATGTTGTAATTGTGATCAGATGTTCTTCTTTTGAGCATATATTTTGCTATTAAGGATGGAATTTGGAATAGATATTCACAGATATGTTGCTAATGAAGATGACATGTTGTC